GAAACACGAGACTTCATATCTTTAGCCGAAGCGTCCTATTTTAGACATCAATCTAACCTACCTAGCTTGTGGCGCATTTAATACCCTTAAAGGGAACAGCCACCCTACAACATATGCTTACAAAATTTAACATATCACTCATTAAGAAGGTCACATCAATAAATTTTATCTACAAGAGATCTTTGAAGGACGTGGATCACTCCATTTCAAGTGTGAGCTTCGGATTGAACCTCTAAAACATAACCGCTTCGATGTGTTGACCTGTTTTGATTATAACAAACAAATTTTTTTTTATCTCTAACATTTGAATTCGAGTCGTTATAGTTATTGTGGTAAAGTTGATTGATTGAAAACGAAAAGGTCGCTTTCAAAAGACTCGCAATAGAAATTGAAGCCGAGCATGGATGTCAAATCAATCAAGAAAAATGCATTTTAAGCCACATGGAATGAGAGCGATGACGACAATCGCGATGTAAATGATAGTCAAGAAGAAATTGCCAACATGTGTTTTATAGCAATCGAAAATGAGGTAAACTCTATTGAAAAATGCTCATATGATGAGTTATGTACCTCCTATGATGAAATTCTTGAGAAATTTGAGAAGCTTCTTTAAATCATTCAATTCTTAAAAAGGAACACCACTTATTAAAAAATAATATAAAGAAAATTTTAGAAACCCAAAAAGAAAATATTGATTATGATCTATTGATTAAAGAATACTCTTCCTTGAAAGAACAAGTTGAAGACTTAACTAAGATTATTCATAAATTCACTCAAGGCAAAAAAGAATTTTGATCTAATGCTTAGTGATCAAAAGTGTGTTTTTGATAAAGGAGGAATGGATATAAATCATTTCTAAAACAAAAATCTTTCAAAAATTTATTTGTCAAAACTTCAAATACCCATCCTTCGAAAACTACATGTAGCTTTTGCAATAAAGATGAGCATATTGCATATGATTGTCTAACAAAAAAGAAGCTACATTTTGAAAGAATGAACAAGTAGATTCATAATCCATCAAAACTAACTACCAAGGACACAAACTTATATGGGTACTAAAAATAAAAAATTAAACTACTTTTTTGTGGTACCAAAGAAGATAAAGAGCAAATGGTTATTGGATAGTGAATCTTGATAAGTGTGTTTTTGCACACTTATTTAATACCTATATAAACTTAAATATTGATTAAAGGTGCGAATTTCTACTCACAATTATGTAATTATTATTTTCGTAGATAAAAATCACTCAGTAAAATAGAACAGGGCAAAAAAGAGTGAAAAGGGACCAAAAGCGTACAACATTGTGAAGTTTGAAGACCAAAGTGAATAAGTCAAAAAGCTCAAGGATCTTGGATGCAATTTATGGAGGACGTAATTCAAAGAAAAGCCAAAATTTGATGATCAAATTGTATAAGATCAAAGTTAAGGGACCTATCATGTAATTATTTAGTGACTTAGCTACAAAAAGAAACCAGGCGCCATTATTATAATCATGGGACTGTTTTGTTGCTTCTTCAAATTTTTAGGGACTTCAGCTGCAATGTTTGGATAGTTTTTTTTTAGTTTTTTACGAGTGAAAAATGTTGAGGCTAGATTTTTTTAATCGAGATGATGTTAAACATTTTGATCCTTTTTATTCTTGATTCTTTCCTTGGTCGGAAAACTAGATTTTTTCGACCATTGTGTTAGGTCTCATGAAGCTTGGGCATTCCACAAGTCACGTTAAAGCTTCACCGTACGACATGGTTCTTAAAAATCTTTTTTAACATTTTGATGTTCTCTTAAATGATGAAACCTTCGTTAAATTTCGCCCTACCAATACCATTAACATTCAAACCCTTAAACGAATGAAAATAGTAAAAGAACATGGTCAATGGGTAACTCACACAGAAGGGTTTAACCCCACCTCCGCTCCTTCTACACTACCTTTTGATGATGATAAAGAAGAGAAGGCAGATGATGTATCACACGTTTCGAGTCATCTTCACGACATTTCAGGCTCTAGTGTTTTTCATCCATCGATCGATAGTTTTACTTTTATCGAGGATCATTGTAACCTTCTCAATGGGCGCATCGATTCACTTACCTTGAATTTTGAAGTCCTTGGTAGATTGCTTCATCAATTGCAAGCTCAATAGGCCGCAATAGAAGTACAATAAGATGCTATACAAGTGCAACAGGGGACGATGTAAGCTCAAAAAAATGCCTTCTACCCTCACTTTTACGCCCACTTCCCTCCGCCGCCACCTCCAGAGCTCTAATCTTAGTTTATATTTTTCATGTTGCAGCTTTCAGTCTTTCGTTATGCCTTTGTGTCTTAGGTACAATTACGATATTTAGTTTTGTGTGAATATTATGTGGCATCTTTGATGAAATCTCTTACTTGTGCCTATGGTTGATTTTTGATCTATGCTTGTACACTTGAATCCCTACTTCATTATTCCTTTTTTGATTATGCGAAAAGGGGAAAATTATAAAAGATTATATACATTGCTTGATGTATATGAGATTATAAGAGATAGGGGAAATATATGAACTATATGTGAGACCTAACATGCTCCTTTATTTATAAACTTTTTGCAAATCATCTTTCGTTTGTCATGATCAAAAAGAGGGAAATTGTCGACATATGGTTGATTCTACGTTTTGATTATCACAAACAAATTGCATTTATCTCTAATATTTGAATTCAAGTCATTATAGCTATCGTGACAAAGTTGATCAATTGAAAACAAAAAGGTCGCCTTCAAAAGACTCACAATAGAAATAGAAGCCGAGCATGGACGCAAATCAATCAAGTACCTCATCAAGTCAAACATTGAAGATATTAGACTTAAATATTTTGAATTAATATGTAAAGGTAAAATACTTTGATCTTTAGCAATGAATCATCAAAAGTTCAAGATAAGTCTTTATGTAAGAGAAAAATTATTTCATTACGATGCTTGCATAATTTCAACTTGATATTTAAACTTCTCACTAATGTTACTTAACTTGAAAAATTAAGTGAAAACGTCATTCAAAAGTCTACATTTTCAAAATAATCAAAGAAAGAAAAATTCGAAAAAACTGTCTAAGCGGACGTCCAGTTCATCACATGGTCGAATGTTTAACCGTTTGGAAATTCTAAGGCACAATGACTAGTTTAGTGTTCGGACGTCCAATTGGTCAAAACTTTTGGCATTTCAACTGCTATAAATATAACCTCACTTTGCAATCAAATTGAAACTTTTAAGAACATTAAAGTGAGATATTTTTTAGCACAATTATTATACTCTTTGTTTATCTTCATCAAATCAAATCATTTATTTTGAAAAACTTTTGATTGAATTAACTTTTGAAAATAATTCTTCTAATCAAAGTTTTTCTTACTTAACACATGAGCTTCATTCGTTGCTATTCATTAAAGTGTTAGCATACTACTCTCTTGGTACTTAATTTTGATTATATCATTTATTAAGAAATAAATTCAAATTGTAAACTCATCACTCGTTGAATTTGTGAGTCATATACAGGTCCCGTAAAGTTCTATATTGTATAACGATCAGTGTTCCTTGATTGTAAGCAACCGAAAGCATTGTAAAAATGTTGGATTACACCAAAAGTCAATCAATATAGTGAAAAAAGACATTGCTCGTGACAAAGAGCTTGGTGATGGAGAACGTAGATCATTGGTTGATATCGAACCTCCCCAATTATATCGTTTGCACATTTTCTTCCCTTCTACTTATTACTTTCGTATTTGTGCATATTTGTTTGATTGACTTATTTGCTACCAAATTTGTTTAAATTTGGATTTATTTTTGAAAAAGTTTTTAATAACCAATCTACTCTCCTCTTCTTTAAATCTTGGGTTATCACGATGGTTCTTCATTTGTCGCTCTGCTTCGATGAGAAGCTTTGGCTAGATATGTCCTAAGCTCTATTGTCTTTGACTTTGGTCAAACGTCAGTTATGTTGGTTGTGAGTCATGGGGCTTCTTCCTTGAACAAGCTCCGTGTGGGATGCCACGAGGGTTACATTTGGAGCCTCGGTAGTGACCTCCCCCATCATATTTGGGTAAAGCAAGGAATTCTTTCATCGATTTTGTTCGGATCCTCCTTTTCTTCCGAAAAAAAGGGAGGAGAAGGATCTTCTTTGGCGGATCTCTCTTGTTCCCATTTAGTCCCCTTCATTTCATAAGCTGTTTCTATTTCTACATCTCTTTCTTTCTTACTTTCCACATTTTCTTCTATTTTTGAGGTTTCTTTCCATTTCTTAGTAAGAATGGGTGACGGTATTTAGGAAGGAATTCTTTCCATCTTCCTTGTTCCAACATCTTGACTGCTTAAGTAGTTGAACTACTTTGTCACTCCTACAACTGACCATACAAACTCGAGCCTGAAGGAAGAAATCAAACTGCAAACATACATTGAATAGACCTCTGATAAGGTCATAAAACTATTCATCTCAGCTCGGAAGTTACCTAAGGTTCAACGATTCATTTTTCTACACCAAAGAAGCAAGCCTAGAATCTCATAGCATTTCTTGTCTTTTATCTTATCCTCATAACATACTTATTTTTAAATTATGCTGAATTAAAGCTCAAACCAGTTGTGTTACAGTAAATAGTGCATGCACTGTGAGGTGAATTTAGATTAGTAACAGAAGTTAATGCAATAAGTGTCGACCTTTTGGCTAGGACAAGAGATCTCAACAAAGATCTATGTAGTAAAATCAAGATTTTCTAACTAGTTTTTATGATCATCTAGATCAATCATTTCAGCCTAAGCCATTGAAAGTCCAGTTGTGGTAGAACCACCAGCCTTTCATAAGCCTCCATATAATTTTTCCTAGTAAAATTCTTGAGGCCGTTAATGGTTTTTGGTTAACTATGGACAACTAAAGTGGACATTCCCACTACCATGAATGAAGTGAACAGGAATGCTCATGCCAAGGCTAATGTTCATTCTATTCACCATGCACTGATACAAAATTGCTTCAAAGAATGGTATAACAACTAAACGAACACTGCCCATGAGTTACATTTCATCACTAGCATGAATATTTATATTAAAAAAACTACATCAACAGCTCATGCCAAGGCTAATGTTCATTCTATTCACCATGCACTGATGCAAAATTGCTTCAAAAAATGGTATAACAACTAAACGAACACTGCCCATGAGTTACATTTCATCACTAGCATGAATATTTATATTAAAAAAACTACATCAACAGCTCTCTCATAACCCTCATTGTGAGAAATGGCTACATTCTTCTGTCTACGAGGTTACATTAGGCCGTGCCTAAGAATAAACAATATTCTTCCTCCAGAAGGGCACTTGGTAATTCGGAGACTTCTCTCTTATTTCTCATTGGAAAAACCTATTTGCTGCATGCATTTTGAAGGGAGACCCAAGAAGGCTTGCTTCCCATGAATTTCCCAGTGCAGTTCCTGAACTACAAAGATCGTGCCCAGAACACCATTGCCACTCGTACATGGATTTCTGAGGAGAACTTGTCCATTGAGGAATCTCAAATCCTCTAGCCATCTCCCAAAACGTACTTCAGAGCTCCTCAACGCTGTATGTCTTACCCAGCAAACAGAAACATTGATCCATCAATCAAGAGGCCAATGTCTCGAATACTTTTTTTTATGACCCTTTACTCATAGGAAATAGAATTAAGGTTACAAACTGGTCCATGAACAAATTTAACCAGTTAAGGTAAAGGCCATAGATTTCATGAAATAATAAACTACTCTTTATTATACACAAAACATGCTTCCATAACATAAAAGTCAATTCCCCAATGCTTTAACAAATCAGTAAATAAGTACTCCTAGATTATATAGAAATTTTTATTTTCAACAATTACATATATGGATGGTCATTCTTAGAGACAATCAGAAAACCAAAGAAATCAAACAATGTATTTCCAATTACATTTTCCCTTACTATGTCTTTTCTCAAAGTGTACTATCAGATCAACTGTTAAATATACATTAATTTGAGTTTCAATAACATAAAACATGCTTCCATAACATAAAAGTCAATTCCCCAATGCTTTAACAAATCAGTAAATAAGTACTCCTAGATTATATAGAAATTTTTATTTTCAACAATTACATATATGGATGGTCATTCTTAGAGACAATCAGAAAACCAAAGAAATCAAACAATGTATTTCCAATTACATTTTCCCTTACTATGTCTTTTCTCAAAGTGTACTATCAGATCAACTGTTAAATATACATTAATTTGAGTTTCAATAAAGATTATATTCGTTTCATAGCTTGTGCATAATTCATGATATGTCTAGTTCATATAAAAGCAATTGAATCACAATGATACTGTAAACCATTTCAAGAATGAAAGCAATATTCAACAAGTTATGAAAGGAATACAAACTCAATGGCCAAGAAGATGGCAAAACTCGAAAGAAAGAATTATTGTAAGTTTTCTCCCGGCAAATCGTACGAAACGTAGCTCAACAAAGGCCAAGTTAAAGGTTTCGAATTCATGGTTTCTTCATAATTAAAAAAAGAGTATTCAAGAAAATGTTGTTTAAAATGAAATGATATCCATACCTCTTTCCTCACATCATCCATAAAAGACATCATTTCTTCAAGAAAATCAGCAAATCCCTGTAGAGAGGATGAAGTTAACATATTGTAAGAAAAAATTCTCTCCAAAATACATTAATAATTTAAATCTGGACATTCTAAACAGACACCTACTTCGATTTCCTCATTGTCTTCATCAAGATCATATGCTCCTGCATTATACATTGTCCTCTTGCTATGATCTGATAACACTGTTTTCAGTCAAATAAAATTCAATCAGTAAAGAAGTTCATCCTATCTTTCTGAACCAACAATAATCAACAAACAGAAGAATAATCATTTCAAGAAAATGGAAAAAGTTTGAAAATAAAATATCACCTAAATAGGCCTCTTGAATTTGTTGAAATTTCTGCTTAGCCTCGCCAAGCTGTGTAGGATTTTTAGTCCATTTATCTGGATGCCATTGCTGCATCAAATTTAACACGCAAAAGTTAAAACTTTACAAAGAGTCTCTGAACAGCATATTGCCATTTAACCAATATTTAAGAATGATGGACCATTATCATTCAATTTTCACACACTAGGAAAAAATTGAAACTAAAGAAGAATCAAGATTGTGAAGTTTGAAGCATACCATAGCAAGCTTACGATAAGCACGTCGTATTTCTTCATCGGAAGACTCTGCATTTACCCCAAGAATGCTGTAATACGAAGGTGGCCCTCTACTAGATTCCATCTCTGATGCAAAATTAACAAAAATGCCCAGTTCACAGAATTAGTTTCTTGTTTACGACCAAGCTAAACAACGATATTTCTCCGACTACAATTGCGTGGGTAAAGGTCTAACTATGGTGAAAGGCGGCAGATACATATATACGCGCGCGCGCGCGCACACACAAGGGCAGATAACTGTCGATGTAATGAGGCGGTTTGTGAAAGAACGTGTGGAAGCTGAAAAAATATCCATGGTACAAATGTTTAGGTGGAAGAAGTTGATAGGGATCTAGAACTTTCTTCCAACATTTTCTTGAATGTTCATGTAATAAATTTCTTGTGGACGCCTTTAGATATTACGTAGGAAGATATTTTTGTTGTCACATAATATATTTTTGTTGACTGTGGTTAAGGAAATTAGGTTTTCCAATTCCTTGAAAAATGATAATTGAAGGAAAATTATTTTTGGAAAACTGTTCATGTTGGGATATTGAAGGCTGTAGGACTGCTGCTTAGAACTTCTGTTTTTACTTTTATCTTTATTTTACATCTTTTATTTCTTTTTTATCTTTGTTTTATTTTTGGTAGCAGTGTATCCTGATGAAACTTCATTAGTTCAACTTTCTTTAAAAAGTATACTTTTAGAAAATGATCTAAACATGTTCAAAGTTCTTTTGACATGAGTTTTGAGAAGTCAAAATACGTTTTTGAGAGACAAAATCTACTTTTAGAGAAAATAACTATAAGTGGAGCCGCAAAACTCTATCCCGAAATTTGCCAACCGCCTTGTCATGGCAAGGGATGATATGATACGAATTTTTCGTTTTAGTGGAAGGTAAGGACCCGAATAGAGGGAGACCTATGACAATAGTTTAAGTCGGCCTAGTGGCAGAGTACTTAGAGTCGACAGATGACCTATTTATTAATTTATTCCCTAGGAGTTTGCTGACGCGGCTGTTGAATTGGTATACCACAGGGAGATCAATTTTGAGTCGTAAGCCCTTACACTTATAGTATAGCCAATTTTTACATCCAATTATAGGGATTGCCTCTTTGTTTTAACATCAACGATTAAAAGAGAATAATATCCTCCATTACAAAAGGAAGGTCTCAACGCCTTGCTCTGTGGGAAATGAATAAAAACGTAATTCCAAAGGAGTTGACAAGGAAGACCATGTAAGCGAAATCTTTTGAGTAAAAGTTACCTGCATGTTTCATCCTTGTGAATACCCATAGTATATGGCATAACATGTGTATACTGTTGTTGTCTTTTTTTTTTTTTTTTTTTTTTTTTTTTTTTTTTTTTTTTTTNTGGTGTATGACAGTACATCCAATCATGCATAGAATTTCAATTCACGTTATGATTATCGTGTGAGCTTAAGATAAGCAACATTCGCGTACAGGTCTGTCATTGCTCACAAAATTCAAGATACTAAGTATATATAAGGTCTATCAAAAGTATTGCTTGAAATGCTGATTCGCAGTTCCAGGTTACTAAAAAACCATTGATATTGTCTAGACATGGTGTCGGATGCTCAATCACCCTATTACTTATTACCTTTAATGAACGTGTTGGAGTCTCAAGCAGTATATCCATATGGATAGCAAATTGTACCCAATAACAAACCAACCATAAAGGAATTACACTTGCGATTAACAATTCACTTGCCTAGTATAAATAACAGTATAATAATGCATGTTACATGAGCACACCACTACTCAATATAGTCATCATGATACACAGATAAATATTAAAAATATTATAACAGTATCACAAATATCAAATACATTACCATAGTTAAAATACATTAATATAATATAGTGCTATGTACCATAGTTAAGATAACGATATTTTACCTCTATTTGTTTTATTTCTATTAGATCCTATGACATTTAAGTGCTCGAAGGTTAGCTATTACTATACAACCTAGCAAGATTAACTCAAGGGTCAAGTGCGACTAAAAATTTATCTAAACATTTGACTTGTGTTACAATAGAAGCAAAAGTAATGTGAATTATTCAAGAATCAAAGTTTGGGTCCAATGAAATTCATAGGTATAAGAAGAAGCCCTCTCAAATAGAGAGATGCTTACTTATAAATTTGATCAAATAAGAGTGTGCCAAGAAGTACTTGGTACTACGATCATTAGATGAACAAGTAAATTTAAGAGCCTACATAAGCGCGTAAAACACTTTTATAAGTCTCAATGTCTAAATCTTAATAATTATTGCTATCACTATCATATACCTATCACGGCAATCTGCCCCTACTTTTATAAAAATTTTGCTGTAATGGTTGTGTTGTAACGTTTCGTACATAATATTGCAACATTATCTGCTAAATGATAATGCTTTCCAAAATCTGATTACACATTGAAAGCAACATAATCACTTACAGGCTCATAACTAATAAGCCCCTTCTTGACTCCCTTCTCATTGTCATCACTTTGTATTGTCATAGTTTTTATTTTTTCATCAGCACCCTCGGATCGCACTAGTCAATACCGCTCGCATTCCTTACATTGAATGAATTTTCATTTCTCTTAGTAAAATAGTTTGAATGGTTTGTTGCCTTTTCAAATATTTGGTATTCTTGTCAAGGATTTAGCTTTTCTCCCCCATCTTTTTAAGATTTTTGTTGAAGTTCTCTGTTAGAAGAGTAAATTGTTTGCTATAGAGACACCTTTTATGTAGTTTAGTAGTTTTCACCTTAGAATCGAATATGTATGGAAGCAATCTTAGTATTTCCTATTAAGTTTGGATTCTATAATTTTTTTCATCTAAATCAAAAGAGTCAATAGCTATATCATATAATTTAGAGTCAAATCCAGCAATGCTTTCATCCTTGAGCATTCCTAAAGTTTTGAATTGAGTTGTGAGTATTTGAAATATAGATAATTTTACTACATAAATTCCCTAAATAACACTTGTAATATATCCCTTTTTTTTTTTTTTTTTTCGTCTTGCATATGGAAATTAATTTTGAACTGATTTACATCTACTGCACTAAATATTGCGTTCAAAGCCTTTAAATAACAATTCACGATATTGTACTTCGTTTTCGATATTGTTTACAATAAGATAAGTCCATTTAAGACCAACCGATTAACAAGTTTTTATATTGAGTCCCTATTTGGTGGGGATTAAAATCAAATTTTTATTAGATTTAGATAAAAGTTGATAAAATTTATAGTTAAAAAGTTGTAAATCCTATAAAATATGTGGTTCAAATTTATTATTGACTTTGACTTATATTAAAATTTAGATTTCAATTCTACCGAACATAGGCTATATAAATTGATGATTGTCTTTATCTTAGCCTTTCAATTTGCAGTTAGAACGATCTGGTAGTGGTGGTAGGGAGACTGATCCTCCTCCTCCTCGTAGAAGATTCATCCCAATTCATATTAAGAACAAATAAGTTAAATCTCAAAATTCCACTATAAGTCAATTTTTGACAATTTTTAAAAATTTAAGTTTTTTGCTACAGTATCATTCTCCACCATATATTTACACAATAAAATATTCTATACACAAACTAATAAAATTTCTTTACTTTTTAACCATACATTCTCCAAAAATACTATTCAAAACTCTTTAATTTTTCAAATAATGGGTGTCAAACAAGGCCTTAGTATTTGCTTTTATTCCAATTATTGAATTTGTTTTCATACGATTAAGTACTGTTTTAAATTGATTAACTAATTCCTCAAGAAAGCAAGAATAACCAATACTGTGAATAAGCAAGAATAATTGTTCCTCTAAATCCTAAAATGAGTTGACCCACGAGCTTCTATGAGCTGACTGGTGGGCTTGTTAGATCACGAGCTTGTGCCCATGAGCCCAAATGAGTCAGCTCTCAAATGAGCTCGGCTCGTGAAAAATAATGTGAGCTTAATTCAGTTCAGGGCTTGTCTTAAAATGAACTTGAGTTACCCATAGGCCAAGCTTGAATTAATCGAGCATGTGAATCTACAAGCAACTCAACTCGTTTGCTACCCCTAATTACTGCCTGCAGTAGACCAATATGAACATATTCATTCCTTTTGGAAGACTTCGAGATAGTCATCAAAAACTTCTCTTCAAAATACTACAAAATCTTGTAAAGAAACAAATAAAGCTTATAAAGATAATTATAGGATCTTAGTTTTCTCCTCTTTTAGGATTCCTTTCGGCTAAAATTTCGTGCATCCAATGCTTCCTCGACTAACTCGAAAAATCATGTAATAATTTGCATAAACTGTTGGATATACAGAATAAATTTATTTGTAATTTTGATATTTTAAAATAAAATATTGGTTTATTTTTTGATAAAATGGTTTGCATTAATTTGAACTTGCATTTTATTCTTGAGTCGATTTGATATTATAAATCAAGTGCTTAAGTAATTAAGAATGACAAAATTCTATTTATAATTCAAATTAAGTTTTATTGTCAACAATTGAAAGATAGAGATGAACATTTTATTTTTATAAGATTGACTCGATATTATTAATAAGATTGAGAGCACACTTTGAAATGTATTGACATGGCCACATAAATTTAATTTCACTTAATTGTTGTAAGTAGGGCATTCGGATAATGAACTTTGATTACTATTTTAAAGTTCCTTGAAGGGTAATTAGCACAAAACGTCCCTCTCTTTCGAGATTTTTGTGAAAAACATTCATATCTTTCGTTTTTTGGCACATTTGACCCTCACCTTTAGTTTTTTTTTTTTTTTTTTTTTTTTCCATTAAAATATTCCATTAAATCAAATGGTAATTAGTACAAAAGATTTCCATCTTTCAATTTTATTGTACAGAACGTCTCTACCTTTTATTTTTTGGCATAATTAGCACAAAAGGTAGAGACCTTTTGAGATTTTTGTGAAAAATATCCATACCTTTCGTTTTTTTGCAGATTCCACCCTCACCTTTAGCTTTTTTGCACAAAACATTCTCCTTTCAACTCTCCATTAAAATGCTCCGTTAAATCAAAGGGTAATTAGCACAAAAGATCTCTATTTTTCAATGTTATTGTATAGAACGTCCTTACCTTTCATTTTTTGGCATAATTAGCACAAAAGGTCCATATCTTTCAATATTATTGTGCAAAATGTCCATACCTTTCATTTTTTAGCATTTCACCCCTACCTTTCACATTTCATTGTGTAAAAGGTCATTTTCATTCATTTTTTTTCAATAAAATAGCGATTTTAACCTCCTATTCAAATAAAACAAAAAGAAAAGATGAATTAACAACTGCAACCATAGTCTTTAAAAGTTTAAAAAATTACAAAGAAATCATAAATTCCAACCACTTTCACAACCTATCAAACTGCTACCTATAGATCCACATAGCACCACCTTTCGGCCACCATGCCCACCGAACTCCACCACCGTCCTCTCACACATGAATTTGAAAGATTTGAGTACTTAGGACCCACCAATTTTGGTTCTCTCACTGTGAATTGCGCTCGTAGAGAGTTTTGGACCAGAAATTGAAATGATTGAGGGGATAATTTGTTCAATTAGATTAATACATATTGTTGTTTGAGTTTGTTGATGGTTCGATTGATGCCAATTTCGGAATTTAGTGTTGTGGGATGCATGAATTGAAGGAGAAGATTTTGGCAAAATAGACGTCGCTACTATCGAATGTTCTAGAATTATAATAAAATGATTTGAGGCAATTTTGATTGATGTGAGGCCATGTATGGATTCGTCGAGGCGAGGTGTAACTGTTGGTGGTGGTGCGTGATCGTGGGTGGCGCCAAACGTAGGGTTGTATACGACAATTTGGTATTTTAGGCTGTAAATGTGGTTATTTCGGATAGATTGGTGACCAATACTATGGAGGAGGATATTGGGGAGAGTGAGGCGAGGCTAGTGGTGGAGTTTGATGGGTGTTGTGGCCGAAACGTGGTGCTATATGTATCTATAGGGGCGGCTTGATGTGGTTGTGAAAGTGGTAGTAGTAGAGAATTTAGGACTTATCTGTAATATTTTGAAAGATTTAGGACTACGATTACAATTAGTTATTTAATTTTTTTTATTTTTTTATTTTATTTGAATAGGAGGGTAAAATCGTCATTTTATTGAAAAAAAATGGATGAAAATGATCTTTTGTGCAATGAAATGTGAAATGTAGGGGTGAAAATTTCAAAAAATAAAAGAAGGGACGTTTTGCACAATAACATTGAAAAGTAAAAATATTTTGTTCTAATTATGCCAAAAAATGAAATGTAGAGATGTTTTACACAATAACATTAAAAGGTAAGAACCTTTTGTGCTAATTACCATTTGATTTAACGGAACATTTTAATGGAGAATTGACAGAGGGACGTTTTGCAAAAAAAAGGTAAAGTTGAGAGTGAAATCTGCCAAAAAATAAAAGGTACGGACGTTTTGTACTGATTACCCCTTCCTTGAAGTATCAATATGAGATCGAATCATTGGCCAATATCTCGATACCTTTAGAGTTTAAGTGAAATAATTAGGGAACATATGTTCGTGATACGAAATCTGTAACCTATTTAGTGGACTCATGACCTCAAATGATAATCTAGTGCATACTTAAATTTGAGCTCAATAGTTCTACGTTGATTGTTCATTAATAATGTGATTTGATCATATATGATTGTCAAATAAAAAAAAAAAAAAAGGATTTGAGGATTTAAATATTATTGTGCAAAATGTCCATACCTTTCATTTTTTAGCATTTCACCCCTACCTTTCACATTTCATTGTGTAAAAGGTCATTTTCATTCATTTTTTTTCAATAAAATAGCGATTTTAACCTCCTATTCAAATAAAACAAAAAGAAAAGATGAATTAACAACTGCAACCATAGTCTTTAAAAGTTTAAAAAATTACAAAGAAATCATAAATTCCAACCACTTTCACAACCTATCAAACTGCTACCTATAGATCCACATAGCACCACCTTTCGGCCACCATGCCCACCGAACTCCACCACCGTCCTCTCACACATGAATTTGAAAGATTTGAGTACTTAGGACCCACCAATTTTGGTTCTCTCACTGTGAATTGCGCTCGTAGAGAGTTTTGGACCAGAAATTGAAATGATTGAGGGGATAATTTGTTCAATTAGATTAATACATATTGTTGTTTGAGTTTGTTGATGGTTCGATTGATGCCAATTTCGGAATTTAGTGTTGTGGGATGCATGAATTGAAGGAGAAGATTTTGGCAAAATAGACGTCGCTACTATCGAATGTTCTAGAATTATAATAAAATGATTTGAGGCAATTTTGATTGATGTGAGGCCATGTATGGATTCGTCGAGGCGAGGTGTAACTGTTGGTGGTGGTGCGTGATCGTGGGTGGCGCCAAACGTAGGGTTGTATACGACAATTTGGTATTTTAGGCTGTAAATGTGGTTATTTCGGATAGATTGGTGACCAATACTATGGAGGAGGATATTGGGGAGAGTGATGCGAGGCTAGTGGTGGAGTTTGATGGGTGTTGTGGCCGAAACGTGGTGGGCGGCTTGATGTGGTTGTGAAAGTGGTAGTAGTAGAGAATTTAGGACTTATCTGTAATATTTTGAAAGATTTAGGACTACGATTACAATTAGTTATTTAATTATTTTTATTTTTTTATTTTATTTGAATAGGAGGGTAAAATCGTCATTTTATTGAAAAAAATGGATGAAAATGATCTTTTGTGCAATGAAATGTGAAATGTAGGGGTGAAAATCCCAAAAAATAAAAGAAGGGACGTTTTGCACAATAACATTGAAAAGTAAAAACATTTTGTTCTAATTATGCCAAAAAATGAAATGTAGAGATGTTTTACACAATAACATTAAAAGGTAAGAACCTTTTGTGCTAATTACCATTTGATTTAACGGAACATTTTAATGGAGAATTGACAGAAGGACGTTTTGCAAAAAAAAGGTAAAGTTGAGAGTGAAATCTGCCAAAAAATGAAAGGTACGGACGTTTTGTACTGATTACCCCTTCCTTGAAGTATCAATATGAGATCGAATCATTGGCCAATATCTCGATACCTTTAGAGTTTAAGTGAAATAATTAGGGAACATATGTTCGTGATACGAAATCTGTAACCTATTTAGTGGACTCATGACCTCAAATGATAATATAGTGCATACTTAAATTTGAGCTCAATAGTTCTACGTTGATTGTTCATTAATAATGTGATTTGATCATATATGATTGTCAAATAAAAAAAAAAAAAAAAGGATTTGAGGATTCGTGTCTGTGCGTGTATATATATATATATATATATATATATATATATATTTTGGCCATTTTACATTGTTTCGAGCATTATTCGCGATTTACCAGATAAGAATAATATGTAACATAATACAATTATTGCAATCACGTTCTTTGAGTGGAATATGAAGAGATTAATAACTTAGGTTAATCCATCAAGCTTCTATTAAGGTGATTGGAATCCTACAAGGAGAAAATTTATATTTTACTAATTTGTCTGAACAAGGTTAAATTGTAGTATTGTTCACAAAATAGGATTGTGTAATTTTATTGTTCAACGTTTCACCGAACATCCTATATAAACAATTAAATTCATCTATGCGAAACTCTAATTTCTCAGATCCTACAAATCAGAATACAAAAAACACCCATCCACAAAAAAACATGTTCAAATCCATTCTGGTATTCCTCACTTTGATTTCACTTTGCCCAGTTCATTGTCGGAAGCCCCACGTCATCAACTTCCGCTGGCCGGATCTCTACCCGGCCTCCTTCGCGTGGGACCAAAAGTCGGAGCACTTCGTTGTGGGGTCCCTCCGGCAGAAACAGCTCATCTCAATATCTGACGCCGGCGTTGCAGCTCCCCTTCTCTCCGACGAATCCCTCCCTGAAAACACCTCTTTCTTTGGCCTCGCCTTAGACCGCTACCACCACCGCCTCCTCGCAGTCGTTCACCGCCCTTCCACCCCATCCTTCAGCGCTCTTGCCTCCTACCACCTCACCTCCTTCAATCAACTCTTCCTCGCCCCGCTCCCAAACACCACCGTTCCAAATGACGTCGCAGTCGATTTCTCCGGGAACGCTTACGTCACCGATGCAGCCAATGGCGTCGTCTTCAAAGTCAACATCGACGGCGACGCCTCGATTCTGACAAGATCTCAGACCTATCGCAATTCCGGGTTAAACGGCGTCGTTTACAACTCCAAGGGTTATCTACTAGTAGTGCAGCCAAACACAGGCAAATTATACAAAGTCAACGTCGATGACGGGACGGCGAGGACCGTTATTCTGAACAAAGACTTAACGGCCGTCGAAGGAATCGCCGTTAGAAGTGACGGAACTCTTGTGGCGGTATCAAAGCATAAACTCTACTTTATCAAAAGCCACGACAGTTGGAGCGAGGGAGTAGTGTTTGACGAAACTGCCCTTGACGAGGAGTGGCCAGCCAGTGCCGTGACAGTGGGGGCTGAGGACAGGGTATACGTGTTATATGGGCATGTAAAGGAGGGCATAATGGGGAATTCAGAGAGAGCGGATTTTACTATTGTAGAAGTGGAATCAGAAAAGGAGAGTAAAGAAGAGAATGTTTGGATATTTGTTTTATTTGGTTTGGGATTTGCTTATTTCTTGTTTTGGAGATTTCAGATGAGGCAGCTCGTGCAGAATATGGACAAGAAAACTGCATGAAAATTTCCTTTTTCTTTTTGGGTATTTTAAAGATTTTTTTTTTTTTTTTTTTTCATGAGATTTTAATTATAGAAATCGCTTATTGATATGATGGCGAAACCATGTTGAATATTTCGTGCTAATAATATTCTCTTTTTAATGCTTATCTTCAATCTGCTTGATAACTTATATTGGATTATAAAGATTAAAGTATTGAACCAAAATACTCAACAAGTATTATCTCTCTGAAAAGGATGTGATCCAGTTGCACCTTTCAATACGATTACCTAGTTATGATTTAATCCCAAAGGTGCATCCTCTCCGATCTTCTTGTACCATGGAAATTTCATCTCAATGCTACTAAAATTCACATTTGGTATATCTTTAGATATTATGCAAGTTTCTATCAATTTTACAATATTGTAGTGCATGCAATCGATCAATGGGGAATTTTCCAAACGGACTGATCCAATCTGTTCAAATCTGTGCATAGTTTTGGGAACTTAAATCTATCAGCTAGCTCTATTGCCATACGAGGATATGAAGCTGTTATTTGTCTTTGGGGGAACTTTTGGCAAGGATGGAACTCCTACTTAAGAGTAAGATGCCGATCTCCAACTGGAGTTTGGGTTGATTTTTGATGTGCTGTAGAAGGGATTAGACTTTATGCAAAAGTGGGATCAGCGCAAGCAGAATTAGGCAACTTTTCGATTTTTGGAGAAATTTTGGGATTGTCTATTTTTGACAAAATTTTAGTCAATTTTGATTAGAAACGGGCAAATGAACAAGACACTCTGTTGTATAAAAACTTTTACGTAGTATCAGGCCTTCGTTTTGTATAGAAACTTGTATGTAGTATTAGGCAAATGAACAAGACACTTCATTGTATAGAAACGGTCAAATTCCTTTGTTTATGCATTTTTCATTTTTTGGTGATTTTTGTTTTGGTTATATATCAATCAAATAAATTCGGATTTGAATTCAGTTTGTTGGAGGATAATTCTGAAGATAAGAATCTTCAATTTTAGTCATTATCTCAAAATTTTTTTTTTTTCATTTTTGGGAATAAAAAATATTATTATTTAATTTTTTTCTGAATTTTCCTAGGGTTTTTGCTATATAAAGCATTGAAAGTCTTTTGTGGCCGCATTAATTGACATAAATAAAATTTTTCGTGAATTTTTTCATCTTTGTGAGATTTGTTATTTTCCCTATAAGCTTTCGCTACGTCAATTCTGTTGCCTATCTCCGTGAATTCAAGGCAGTGTAAATCTTGGTAAATTTAAAAATACCTCCTCCATATCTGGCCGCCTAAGCAATTCTTGCTATGGGAAGCCTAAAAATGAATGTTGACGCAAAAATGCTGGTGGCAGGTGAGGCTATGGGGTTGGTGGAGTTGCTCGAGACCATGACAGTATAGTTATAGCAAGATTCTCAAGGTTTTTGTCCTCGATTAATGAGAAGGAATGATGTGATGAATCCATTTGAAAACATAAAGCTCGATTATTTACAAATTTTTTTTTCCAAAAATCTGGAATGGATAATGCTATTTGTACACCGAGGTTGGCAATCCGGTGTACACTCCCCTCACATGAGGGGATGGACCCCACGACAATAAAAAAATCATGGAACCCCCCATATGAGGAGAGTGTACATCGAAGTGTCAACTCCCGTGCACGTGTAGCAAAACTCATGTTGGAAAACATTATGATGATAACACACTCTTGTTACACAAGACCTTGAGATTTGCTGCAAGTCTTGTCAGCATGTTCCAAATACGAGTATAGCTAAGCTCTTGAAATCATGATTGGAGTAGACAAAATATTTGATTTCTCCAGTTAAGATTTCAAACAAAATGATAGAAACATTTCACATAATATTGCGGGAATTCACAAAAACAAAACTTTATTCTTCATTGTTGAGAAAACTCCCAGCATCGTACACACAAGTGAAAATGTTAAAGCCTCAGTTGATGATCAGAATTAGTATCGTTAAATGAAACAACACAGAAAATTCGAAACCATTTTTCTTCAGTAGATTGTGAAAATATCTATGTTATGATAGCGACATGCTTTCATTAGGAGATATTTGTTTCCACCATTTTGCCATTTATGATGCTTGGAAGGGGCAAAGGAAGACCTTCTGATGGTGGAGCTGTAGAATGCTGAGGTGTGGCCTTCTTTCCTTCAATTTCGTCATTTGGCTTTGTATTTTTTTCTTCAGCTTCAATTTTTGCATTCGACTTTTTTTCTTCATCTTCATCTTTTGGGTTCTTCTCTTGGCCTTCAACTTTTGGCTTCGAAAAGCCAGCTTTCTCCCTGAGCTCTTCAAGCTTCTTCAAGATCTTCTTCCTAATGTCGGCATTTCTGGTACGTGCTTCAGCAGTCTCTGGTAAGAGAAGAGAAAGAAAACCTAATGATGCAGCTGCCAAATGCATTATCTCCCTCCTTGAGGTGGCCTTGAACAAATCCTGCAATAGTGGTTTTTCTTCCTTTCTGGTTGCCTGCAAGCAACAAAAATATTCTTATAGATCTTACCAAAAATAACAATGTGCTCCTCTTTTCCTTGTACCATTATACGTCGAATCACCTCGCCCAAAAGGTTATGCCATTTGGGAGGGAACATGTTATTTAAATCTTGTCTACAATACGCCCCATGTCCAGAACTGACGCGTCTTTTGATACAAGGTCCAACAAGTGCTATATATTTATAAATGAGAGGCTATGAGACTGACACAAGGACTTTGACCTGCTCCCATACCATATTCAACCACTTCGTCTAAAACTCAAAGTGATTTGAGAAGGAACAACAGCAATAACAAAGATATCTATCATCTTCAAAAGTATATATTCTAATTAACTGAAAGGTTATTGAACCAGTTGGAAAATATTATCTTGCAAAAAGCATGAATAAAACACGTCACATCATAGATAACTAACGAATGTACAGTAGTTATACCATGGCTAAAGAAAACCTATTGAGAGAACCAAATAATGCAACCACTGAAACATCATATTTGATTACTAAAAACAATTGAATGTATTCAAAGAACTTTTCAATTAGCCATTACAAAATACTATGAGATGACACTCCGTTGTATAGAAACTTTTATGTAGTATCAGGAATGGAGTGGAAATAATTGCTAACTGATTATTTCAGTTAGACAAAGGCCAGCTTGTGAGATATTGGTCCACCTGTAAAAGGACCAAGAATCAGGCCTTGAGACTGGGGCGTCTCAAATTTAAGCTGTGCAGTTCTTTGAGTTGATTTGCTCTTTCTTCTCCCCCTCTCCTTTTTTTTTCAACTAATCCGTAAGTTTGCTTATTCTCAATGTCAGAACTCGTATGATGTAATATTTCAAGAAAGTAATGTAAATGCATGTGCTAAATTTGAAAATAGTTTATGCTTTTTCAGAATGAAATTTCTTCCCAACTAGAATAGTCAGTAAGCCAGCAGACTTATCATTTCAATCTTAGAACGGCCTACTTAAGTAATTGAGGAGCAGTTATCCATACATGGCTGCATATTGTTGATTTCCAACCCACAGAGCATAGAAGTTATCCCAAGTCCCACACTATTATGATCCAAATATAATCAACTTCACAAACACAAATAAATCAACTTTACAAACATTTACATGATATTGAATGCAGTAGATGAAAGCCACCTGCATTATTATAATTCCAGCATGTTGGCATGTTTAGTTTTTATAGCACCATGACGCTATCACGGAAAAATCGTGCATGCAGTCACTACGCTGTTGCTTGTTCTCACATTTTGGCATTGTGAATTACAAAGCAATGTTTATATCACATTTTCGCATTGTGAATTACAAAGCAATGTACTAAACGTTGCTAATATGTCATATGCACCTATCTCATCTAGAAACATCAGATGAATAGGGAAAGAGAATGAATGAATCCGATCACGGAAGGCAAGATGCTTTCACACCACGTAGCAAATTATAATTTGGCAATGCAAATAAACTGTTAGTAATACTTGTCCATTCTTTTGGCATAAGTTTAACTATCTATTCCTGGCAGAGCAGAAATAATATAACTTGATACTTCACAACCCCAACCCCGATAAGGTAACAAATGATAATAATGATCCACACACTGCTTCAAGAAGATTTCGAGCATGTCTTTTGCACTTAGTTTCTTTTAATATTTCTATACAACATTGACACAGTCTCTTAATCTTTATGTGGTTCTAAAATAATTCCAGCAACCAGAGCAACTTAATTGCTCTCAATATTTCAGCAATTGTGTTAAACTAGAAATAAAGTAAAGCTACAAAACAGAAAATTCATCAGAAAAACGCCCATATAATTACGTAACAAGCGACAGGCAACATAAAATCCCATATCAATAAAATAAGAGCAGAAGATACAATGCTATGCAGAAATCTACTAATTTAGATAGCACAAGAAGTAATTGGGGCAACCAAAAAAATTAATTACTTATAAGCAGCAGCAGTTCAGCGCATGGAAACAGACAACAAATCAATAAATCCAAGACAATGGGAGAAAGAGAAATAGACTTCTCGGTTCCTCACACCCTAAATTAATGTTAATTTTCCAAAAAATATCTCTATCCAAATTTAATGAAATACCACTAAGACTAATGTATTTATGTAAAACATCAAGGGCAGTGCTATTACTAAGAACGAATGAACAAGTAATTATTTACAAATCATTCATATATACTTACGCCGAATTCAAAGTACAAAACGTCAACATCCAATTGCAGCAAGCCATGATTCAGTGCATTACACACACGTGTTTAACTTTCGAAGAAAATAATACAAAGTGTGAAGGATAAATTTAGCAACGGAAGTTCGAATTGCAGAACCTGAAGACAAGGAAGAGCTGGCCTTTTCACCATTTCGACTTTTAACACTTTTGATTGGGACCCACTTCCTCTGGTCACCGGAGGAAGTCGACAGGAAGCTGGTCTCAAGGTGGACGACGACATTTTTCGGCGAGATAACAGCACGAATTGTCTGTCTGGTAGGTGAACACTATAAACGAGGCCGTGCCCTGTGAAAATGGACGATCAAACTGACACGTTTTTCTTATTTTAAGGCCGCTCTGCACTGTATTGGACCTTTAACCAATTAGGCCCAATAAATACACGATAAGAGAAGTTCATTAGACAAAGGGCTGGGCCCATTATAAGCTGGCACTCCAATCTAAATCCAAACTCCAAACCCTATAAAAAAGGAGGAAATTTTTTTTATCTAAAAGGTTAAGTATCATCTATTTTAAAATTAAAAACAAAAGTTTCAAATTTATGATTTAATTAATTAATTATACAGTTTATTAATTCAATATATTAAGGTCATGGATCTATAAATTTTGATCGAAATTAATGATTTAGTTAGTCACATATTATTTTTTGACCACAAATAAAAATTTTTATATTTCACATTATTTTACGTTCACAATTCAAAAATTTTATTTATCATAATTTATTCATCAGTTACAAGCAAAAAATTTATAAATCACAATTTATTATATAGTCACAAATTATCGGTCACAAATTAACAATTTTTTAAGCCACGCATTATTTTTTTTGTTACAATTTATCGTTTTCATTGATCATATATTATTTATTGGTTACAAATTAATCAATTTAACGGTCACAATCAACCAAATCATTTGTGACCACCGCCAACACCTGCGACCACTAACTCACCACTACTTCTAGCACCGCCATCGTTGTTGTCAGAACCACCACCATCACCGCCACCTTGCTTGACAGCAACACCACTACTATTAAGAAAACACACTCCAAAATCACTTCACAACCACCACAAAAACAAATCCAAAATCACTGCATAACCATTGGTTACAAAACCAAATTCAGTCGACAAGATTGCAACAGTAGCACTGGCTGCTTCAAAGCGATGTCGCATCACTACGATGGTGGATCATTGCGACAATTTGCAAACGCTGCTCAGATCAAGGCATTGCCAAACACCACTTCAACAAATACTCATTCGACACCACAATGAACACCAACACCACAGCCATCAACATCACACTAACAACCACCCAAACATCAACAAAATCGTCCCCAAACACCAACAAAATTGTTGCCACCAACAAGCTCCACTACCGTCACCTAAACACTAGATCACAAGCACACCAATCGTCACCCAAATACCAACAAAATCGCAACCTAACCATATCTGAACTAGGAGAGAGAGAGAGAGAGAGAGTTGAGCATAGAGAAAAGGGAGAGAGAAGGTAGAAGGAAAATGGAGAGGCGACACCACCACTTGTCTAGCACCGTTGATGGCGCCTCCCCTCCTACAGCGACGTAGATGGCATCAAGCAAGCATGGTGGCAATGTGATAAAACTGGCATCCATCATCGGTGGTGATGCAGCACCGAGTATGATGGAGACGAGAAGATGACGGCAAAAACGAGAGAGAGAGAGAGAGAGAGAGAGAGAGATGAGGAGGAAAGATCCAAGGTTTGGTTTGGTGGGAATGGATAGAGGTAAGGGTTGGTATATTAATTAATTAATTTAATTTTATAATACTATTATTAATATTTAGAATTTTAAATATATCTAATTTTTGAAAAGAAAACTTGTATCTCTTAATTATGAATTGAAATCTTGAAAACACTTAGTACATGTAATTTCCATATAAAAAAATCGCTGGAAGTAACTTGATTTTCAAAATTATTTTTGAAGGCCAAACAAACTTTCACTATAAAATATCGCTTCTAACATCAATGAAATAAAGTAAGGAATATAATCGTCATAGTTATTGAGGATAATATGGTTGTTATACCTTTTCCAACAAGGACCCAAACTCGTGCCATGTGGCAGGCGGACCTATGAAGGCGATCGTGTGGGATATCCTTGTAGTTGAACCCCTGTGGACGAACTTCTTATGACCGAACCCATATTCTGTTTGACCTCACAATAACTGAACCCTTAAGGCTGAACCATCACGCATGAGCCCCAACAGGAAGGGCGAAGTTAAGAAAGATTAATTGGCAGAAGATCCTTTAAATCAAATCTCGTGACGCAACTGATTTGACTACTCGACACCACCGCCACATCCAACCTATTTGGTTGAAACTACTGCCACAAGCTATGAGTTATGAAAGACAAGTTGTATTACCATTTAAGTCTTATGAATAATTGATGTCCATGATGAAAATTATGCCCACATGGATGAGGTCGCGTGTCTTCTCATCTGACGATCCTTACTCACTATTTCATACTATAAAAGCTCACACTTAGTGCCATTCAAAGGTAATGTAAGTTTAGACTTTGATACTTAACAACTTTTCTCCATATTCACTATTTTTCTTGAAACCGACCCTCTTTGTTTTATATTGGGACTCATGTCAAAGGCCCTCCCACACTTAATACACTTCTTCCCCAACTGATTTGACCATCGGAGTACGCGCGGCTGGCTCCACCCTTATCGGAGAAGACCACGTGTGTCTAAAGATTTGTCTTAGTGTGCAAGTATACAACTTGTGGTTTCGGGATCTGTTGGTTATCTGAAGGTACATTTTTCGAGGTCAACAATAGCGAAAAAAGCAATTTAGCCCCTGTTTGGTACGTATTTTTGGAGCCAAAAATGCATTTTTTCCGTCACATTAGCACACAATTTTTGACTTCTACACTCTAATGGGGGATCCGCGATATGATGTTTAAAATGCATTTTCATCTAGAAAATGTGTACCAAACGGACTCTTAATAAGCTGTTCGTTTCTTATCTATTTCACGAAGCAAAGCTACAATATTAGATCTTACTAATGCATATGGTGCAAATAGATTGGATGATTTTAGACATTGAATCTTGAGGCTCTTCATATTTGCACCATTGTGCTCTTGGTATTGCAGTTGCTAATTTGCCAACTTAGCTATTGCCTCTTCCCACTATTGGTTGTACTCTTGAGTAATTTGAGATATATATATATATATATATATATATATATATTTTTTTTTTTTTTTCAATTGGGACTTTTAGAATAGAAGTAGAGGCAAAAATTTGTGTGGCCGGTGGTTTCCAAAATTCTTGGAAGAGGAAATCATCCACATTAACGTCAACTAAAATCAGTAATGGCTTCTTTCACCAATTTCTCTAGCCAAAATTTGCCTTTTGGATAGAATTCCCTTTCGTCACGAGTGAGCTTTTCATGGATAGCGTAGAAATAATCCTACAAACAAGTCATCCTCAATAATTTTCGGGACAAAATCTCCAACAAGCATACTAGTTGTTGACATACTCTTGCTTCTTTTTGTTCCGTGACAATTTGAAATCAAGAAAACACAAGTAGATTAGTTGAAAAAAGAAAAGAAAAAGTTAAAGTTGAAATTAATTAACGAAAAGTAAATAAAATAGTTTCCAACAATGGTACCAAAAACTTATCGTCAAAATTTATCTTGCAGATGGACACAACGAATAATAAATGGCAAATTAAGTACCATTTTCATGACGACTATTTATCTACCTATTTTTACTTTAACGAAAGCAAGCTCCAATTCAAAACACGAACAATTTTTTTATTGGACATTGATTTTAACTAATCCAATTATCTATGAAAATAAGCAATTAAAAATAAACGAACAAAGTCTTGAAATTAATCAAATGACCGTAGGCACTAGAATCTCCAATATACCATTTTAACATACTTTAATCCTCGAGTACCCGTTGTTTTCGATTATATCATATAAGTTGAAAATCAATGATCCTATATTAATTAATAATCTCTATCAAAATCAATGAATTTTATACCTATATATAAACTTGGTTATCTCTAGTTAAATTTTGAATATATAAGCATGCATTAACTCACAAATTAATAACATTACATCGCACATTCATAGATCATAGTGATATATATCTATTATATGATCCTATATTATTTATTATCATGTGTCGATTTGTACCCAATCTCTCAAAAGCAACTTTTGATTATAAACACGTTCTAATGATGGCCATTGTTAAAATGGAATTAGAGAATAAAAACAATCAATCCAATATCAAGAATTAAACAAAACGAGCAAATAATTAACCAAAGAGTTAACAATTTTTCATTAACCTGTCCTAGTTTGTATAATTTGGAATAAATAGTTATATGACCCTTAATCTTGAATCTCTTCATCTTGGGCATCTTCTTTTTCTTCTTCTTCAATATCATCCAAAGTTTTCGTAAGTATGGGACTTCATTTTTTATTTTATTTTATTTTAATTTTTGCTTGTAATAATTTAATACTCTTTATGTGGAATTCCTCTTCAGTGATATTCTATTTTGTGATATGGAATACCCCTTTGTTTAACCTAGAGTAATCCTATTTAGAGTCTTAAATATGTCGTAGAAGTCCTTTGAAAATTGAACCTTGAGATAGGGCCGACCCTGAGAATTTTGAGGTCCTAAGCGGCTATTTATTATGAGGCCCCAATTCATCTAGCTAATTCTCCTGGTTGCTTAGGGCCCAATCCACCGGGCAAAGTGCAAACCAACTCCCCAACCCAACGCCTTTCACTCTACTCAACACGTAGACAACATATGATGCTTCCATGAATCTATTCCCATTCTCCATGAACAACACAATTTAGCCCATCAAATGCTCTTTTGCATCCGACTTTCACCTTTTCCAGTTATTAAAATTTAAGCCAAAAAAAAAAAAAAAAAGCTTGTGAAGAAATAATTAATCAATCTTTTCACTCCATTTTTCTTTTGGAAGATCCATATTCAAATTTTCTAGTGGACATAATTATAAGCAAAGAACAATAGAACTTGACTAATGAATTCAAGATTCCCAAATATTGCCAAGAGAAGGAATTCAACAATCAACCTCCAAGAAATAACCAAAAATGGGAAAAAGAGATAAGTGATGAAACTAATGAATTACTTAAGGTTTAGGCAAAACATGTCGTCTTATCAAAATAGTATTAGTATACACCCACTGGCGGTAATTCAAAAAAAAAAAAAAAAAAAAAAAAAAAAAAAAAATTTAAAAAATTTTTTTTTGAAAA